TCTTCAGGTGAGGTCGACATTGTTGGACTGCACATAAAAAGCTTGACTGAGGCTGGAGTGAAAGCTAAAGACATCGCTGTTATTGCTCCATATAATCTACAGGTAAGTCTCAGATTTTTGCTGCAGATAAAAAAGATGCATCGTTCCAAAAGAAAGATGCATCTCTTAAACTCAACAATGCAATATATCTACGATATGCTGATGAAGATTCTCAGTCATCCAGGTCATAGTCATGCCATAAAAGTAAAAAAAACAATCCACTGACTGTTGGGACTGCCTACTTGGCAGTAGGCCAAGTCCAGTGGATTGTTTTTTTTTTTATTTTACCAAATACCTACAATATATAACATATTTAGTCATTTATTAACTTCAAACCAAAGCATCACAACTCGCCGGGAGATAACCCTGAGCAATTTTCCCTGTGTTTTTTGACCAGCCAAACAAGGAGTTTTACTCGTTGCTTTTAATTAATTGATCCTAGAAGAACATGGTAAAAAAAAAAAAAATACACACATTGAAGGTGGAACCAAAGCCAGGTGAATAGATTGATGTGAAATAGATGAATCCATATGGGATGGGTATAAGAGGGCCGAAAAGATGAACAGGAGTGGGATCAATAGCTGTGGAATATTTAGGAACTCAAAATATTATTCTCTTGAAAATATTCATTAAACTGTTAACGGTAAATCCACAATAATCTGCAGGTCATTGATACTACCTGTTACTTCATTTTGTTTCCGTCCATCCATTTTCCATTGCGCTTATCCTAAGCAGGGTCGCGAGGGGTGCTGCTGTCAATTGGCAAGACGCGGGGCACACCCTGGACGGGTCACCATTCCATCGCAGGGCAACACAGAGACAAATACGACAAACAACCATTCACACAAAAACTCACACCTAAGGAGAATTTAGAGAAGCCAATTAACCTAACAGTCATGTTTTTGGACTGTGGGAGGAAGCCGGAGTACCCGGAGAGAACCCACGCATGCTCAGGGAGAACATGCAACCTTCTTCCTGCAAGGCAGCAGTACCCGCTGCTCCACCTAGCAGCTATTATTTTAAACCCCATACCTTAAGGCAAGGCAAGGCAAATTTATTTGTATAGCATAATTCAGTACAAAGACAATGCAAAGTGCTTTACATGATTAAAATACAGGAAGATAAAACAGAATCAAAGCAAGTAGGAAAAAATAAAAAACAAATAAAATAAAATAAAAAATGCAGAAACAAAAAAGAATATTAAAAACAGTTGGACTAAAGAAAATATGTTTTAGTTGAACTGTTTAACTAGGCACTGTAGGCCCCCCCTACTACCGAAACAAAGTTTTTAACATCTTGAATTAAAATAAAAAATTTTGTGTATTTTTTTGTATTTTTTAAATGGTGTTATTCTGTGTTTTGACTTTGTTTCTTCCATTGTGTTTTTATCTTTTGTAAGGTGACCTTGAGTGTCCAGAAAGGCGCCTTTGAAATAAAATGCATTATTATTATTATTATTATTATTACAACAAACTACATGGTGTGAATTTATTAAAAAAACGAAAATCTTAGTATGACTCTAGAAACAGTTTTTTTTCACATGAAATAATAAGATTCTTTTTTTCTTATGATCTATTAATGTTAATAAATAAAATGATGCATCATGATATAAACTACTAACAATATTTGTATTCCAACCCCGATGCAAACTCTCCCTGTAATGTTTTTTTTTATTATTTTTCCTTTTTTTTCTAAAGGTTGATCTTCTGCGTCAGAAACTTTCTGCACGGCACCCAGAACTGGAAATAAAATCTGTTGACGGATTTCAAGGCAGAGAAAAAGAAGCTGTAGTGCTGTCATTAGTTCGCTCCAACAGAAAAGGTAATTTCCTAATTTGAATTTCTGTTGCTTTTTTTTTTCTTAACCAAATCTTCACCCATAGTTGAGAACTGCTCATAACGTCCCTCTTTTCCTTTAGGTGAGGTGGGTTTCCTTGCAGAAGACAGACGGATAAATGTTGCGGTTACACGTGCAAGACGCCACATCGCTGTAGTGTGTGACACTCAGACGGTTGGGAATCACGCTTTCCTTAAATCTCTGATCGATCACATGACTGAATTCGGTGAGGTCAGAACTGCATTCGAATACCTCCAAGACATTGTGCCGCAGAACTACACCAGAGACCATAAAGACACAAAGACTGCCACTTCCTGCAAATCTAGCAAACAGAAGAACAGAGACCAGGTTTCAGCTAAAGCAAAGGACGGCCAGAAAACGACCAGCAGCGCTAAGAGCAATACAGCTGGTTCACAGAACCACGCAAAGCAGAACACATCAGCACAAAAAGACCAAAAAGAGACCAAGATTAGATACGATGAGATCAGAGCACAGGTGGAGAACTTTATGAAGGATGCAAATATGGAGAATTTACAGTTTCCATCATCTTTCAACCCCCATGACCGGCTGATGGTCCACCAGATCGCTGAGGAGCTGGGCCTGGTTCATGAGAGCAGAGGACAGGGCAGCGACAGGTGCATCACGGTCTCCAGGCCGCTGGCATCCAAGCCTGCCGAGGAGCCAGAGCAGGAGGAAACCCAGGAGGAAGAAACTGCTCCCACTTTGCAGAGCGAGCAAACATCCCAACCTTCATTAGATCTCAAAGCTTTACATCTAGAAAGGATGAGGAGAGAGCAGCAGAAAAGAGAAGAAAACATCCAGAAAAAAAAGCAAGAGAACAGCACTAATGGAAAAAAGAAGTCTAAAGGTCTGTCTGAAAAACAAAAAACAGTTAAAGTGTTTTACCAAATAGATTATGACTCTGCATTATTTCCTCTCAGGAAAGAGCAAAACGAAGGCAGGTGTGTGTGAGATCGCTGCTGCCGCAGCTCCAGATGATGACTTTGATGCTCTTATCAGCGCGGTCGTGAAGGCGGACAGCGTTTGCAGCTTTGTAAAGTGTAAAGCATCTGTATTAACGCTCGGCCAGCTTTGCCTGTTCTGCAACAGGCAGTTCTGTCTCAGTCATCACATACCAGAGGTAAGAAGCTGTGTGTTGCTTTGAATTTATTTTGCTCCTTTCAATTTCAAGTTAAGCTCCTCTTCAAGTACGTTATACACAGTGATATGTTTCAAGCATGTTTTTCTGTTAATCTTGATTATTATGGCTTAGTCAGTTCAAACAACACATTAATAACATGTTATGGGGATGTCATGTGGAAACTACTCCATAAGAAGGGTGAGGTGGCAGTTTACAAAGAGCTGTATAAAAGGATTATCACAGAAAACTTAGTGGAAGGAAAACAAATGGTACAAAAAGTTTCAAAAGGAATAGCGATAAACAAAGACTTGAATGAAAGTCTCTTAAAGGTATTATGGAGGGTTTTTTAAATAGACCCGTCCTCTCCACTTAAAAAAAAAAATGCTTGTGCAAGAGCATACACGAGCCATTTCTTCTGGTCCCTGTTTATAATCTGCTGTTCTCATAGCTCATACAAACTTACTGTGTCCACATACAGCGGGGACTTTATAGTCAAATCAGTTAACTGACCGTTCAGACAGATGATAACTGCTTTTTGCCCTGTTGGGCAAAATTGCCCCATAACTCCTCCTCCACTGCGCATTGCCTGCGCCATCTTTGTTACTAGGCAAGGCAAGGCAAGGCAAATTTATTTGTATAGCATAATTCAGTACAAAGACATTGCAAAGTGCTTTACATGATTAAAATACAGGAAGATAAAACAGAATCAAAGCAAGTAGGAAAAAAAAATTCATAAAATAAAAAATGCAGAAACAACAAAAGAATATTAAAAACAGTTGGAAGTTTTTGTTAGATTACATTTATACTAGTCGCCACTGTAGCGACAGCAGGCCGCTGTGACAGCAAATCCCATAATGCTTTGCGAGGAAGGCTCCATGCAAAGCAAAGGTATATGAGGTACCACTGTCAAATGTTAAACCAGTCCTGAACCAAAGACATCAACAAACCACATAAGCTGAAGGTTTTTATTGAAGCAACTTGTGCTTCTATAACTCATCAGCAACCCAAATAAAATATCCTGTTTTATTTGGGTTAATTGATTGAAGTGGTTTTATGTAATACCGTACCAACTTTATTTATAAAGCACTTTATACACTGACAGGACCAAAGTGCTGTACACGATCAAAAAATACTATGCAATTATAAAATACAAATGATCGAATCTAAAATACATAATAATATACAGACACAATAAAAAGTATAAAAGTGAAACCTCTCAAATTGTGCCAAAGGCCAAGGAAAAAAGAAGAAAGAGACTTAAAAACGGCGAGTAAAGAGGCTCGTCTTATGCCCAAAGGGAGATCGTTCCATTGCTTGGGAGCTGCCACAGAAAAAGCATGGTTCCCTCTGAGCTTGCACTTCGTCTTTGGTTCCTTCAGAAGCAAGATCAGCTGACCCAAGGGGACGGGAGGGTGTGTAAGAATGTAACAGCTCAGACAGATGGGGAGGGGCAAGGTCACTAAGCAAAAAACAAAAAAATGCACTGACAACCAGTTTAAAAAGCTAAAATAGAGGATATGTGGTCAAATTTTCGTGTATCTGTTAAAAGACGTGCAGCAGCATTTTGTACTCTTAAGCTGGGAAATATAAATCATTGACTCCAATATAAAGTCCATTACAGTACACAAATGCATGGATCACTGTTTCAAATGCTTTGGCTGAATAAAATAATGTAAGAGTTTCACTTTTTCAATTAAATTCCAAAAAAAGAAATGAACTTTTTTATTGATTTTTATAATTTATTGAGAAGAACCTGTGTTCTAAGTCATTTTGTTTGGTGTTTTAGGTTCACGGCTGTGGAGATAAGGCAAAGTCTCATGCTCGGATGAGAATAAGCAAAGAGGGGGTTCTTTACGCTGGCAGCGGGAAGAAGGACAAATCTTTGGACCCCGACAAGAAAGCCTATCTGCAAAGAAAACTGGACTCTAAGCTAAAAGACATGGCATCACAAAGGAAACCAAAAAACAAGGAGACTGACACTTAATCTGATCAAAACAGCTTTATAGTTTATTTAATGTGCAGACTTTCTTCTGACTGAATAAAACAGCTCATGCATTCATCATCAAACAACGTGCTATTTGGTTTTAATTTTGTCAAAATAGTTAGATAAACTTTTGTATTTGTCATCTTAAATCTCTAACACCAGTCCCACTTTTCTATAGGGATGTGTGCGTTCCTCCTAAGCGTTCTCTGGAACCACTTTCATTGACACAGGGCATATGGTGAGTGGGATGGAGTTTTTCCACTCCTCACATAATCCAACGGAGAAGTAGGGATAGATTTTCTCTGAGAATTTCTCTTTGAACTTGTGCATCACAGCTGAGTCAGCAGCGTTGACGAAGGCTACCTTTCCTTTCTCATAGTCCACCTGGACGGTAATCTTCTTAGGCACCTGCTTCACCGAGACCCTGCTGCGAGGAGAGGTCTGAACCCAGATGGAGTCTTTGCTGCACTGGCCAATCACCCAGTAACCCTCCTCTGGGCTCATGAAGGTGGTGCTTTTCCTTTTAATGGACTCCCGGGCCACCCCGATGTACCAATCTTTGCTTTGGCCCACCTCTATGGTCCAGCTGTGCTTCCCAGATGTAAACCCGCTGGCTCCCAGCACACACATGCGGCTGGTGCAACGTTCAGGGTTATCGGGTAGATTCTGCTTATTGCTGTACTGCAGCCGGGTCAGCTCTTCAGACAACTTCAGGTTGTAATGGGCCGTGTTTGGGTCCAGAATAACCGAAGCTGTGAAACATGACCTTCAGTTAGTCTATGGGGTTTAAAAGCCTTAAACTAAATCAGCTTTGAGTTCAGTTAGACAACTTTAATTGTCATTTTGCATATACAGCGTATACAAAACAAAATTTTGTCTCAGACGGTAAATGAGCAGCAGCTTAGGGGCCTGTCACAGCTTGACGATTTAGACCCGCGTATGCCTGACATACGAAAATCTGGCAGAAACACTAGGTACATTTTGTATAAGTTATGAGCATGTTGAAACATGCTGGCGCACGGCAACATTTTTTGACGTATGCCATACGTGGGGCATAGGTTACGGGTAAGTTATCTGACCGTTGACATACGTTAAGTGTAAGTTACTAATAAGTTGTGGTGTCTAGCTTATCCAAAACCTATGAGTAACTTGTTCATAACTTATCCAGAACTTATGTCCAATGCATATCAATGTATTTGACGTGTTCTAGATTCAATTCAGTTTATTTATGTAGTGCCAATTCACAACACATGTCATCTCAAGGCACTTTACGGTTTACCAGATCATACAGTCAAACTGAAAGTTTTCTATCTAAGGAAAACTAGTTGATTGTATCGACTCATTGAATCGAATGCAATCCCTCACACTAAGCATGCTTGTAGCGACAGTGGAGAGGAAAAACTCCCTTTTAACAGGAAGAAACCTCCAGCAGAGCCAGGCTCAGTGTGAGCGGCCATCTGCTGAGGCCGAGTGGCGTTCAAGGAGACAGAAGCAGAGATAAAAAAATAAAAATAAAAAAAAGCAGCTATAAAAGGCGGTCCCGTCCAGGAAACACACAGTCAGAAGAGAGCACATCCAGCCTGTCGCAGTCAGAGAAACAGGACTACACTGTAAAAACAGGCCAATCTCCAACAGCTATAAACAAAGGTGTTTATGGCAGCAGCACAGCTGATATTTCCCTCCAGGGTGGAGTCAAAGCCAAACAGGAAGAGATGAGGCAAAGATACTATGAGAAAAAGCAGAGAGAGCAGAACGTTAGAGAGTGAACTAACAGATTCTGCAGAGTGGGAGAATAGAGATAGAATGAAGCAGAATTATGAAATAGGGGTCCCTATGTCCTCCAGAAGTCTAAGCCTATAGCAGCATAACTATAGAGATAGCTCAGGATAACCTGAGCCACTCTAACTATAAGCTTAATCAAAAAGGGTGATCGCTGAACGTGTTTCTACCTTAGAGCTACTGTATACTGGCATATTGGCAGCGTTTCGGTATAAAAGGGGGTTCACAGGAGGAAACCCTCAGTTCTCCTCCAGACGGAATCCCCATCATAGGGTGAGTGAGAAGATGAGTGTGATGGATCCTCCTTGCATTCATAACGTTTAGCGTTTTCTTTTTTTCTTTATTATTTTATTTTTGCGCGTGGTAAACAGCAGCTATGTTAATACTGCGACCAAAGAAATCTTTTTTTATGCAGGCCGGGCGCCTCCGGTCGCATTGTTGCAAGGTGTGACAGGGCCCTTTAGCAGTGACATGAACATTTCCATTCCATAAAGTGCAGCATTGATCAAATGTAAACAGTGTGTGAGTACAGAGCATTGCAAGACATATGTGGTGCAAAAATGAGGTAGAAAAAAACTTTATTTTTTTTAAATTACCGGTAGTTCTTTTTTTGTTTGGTGCTATCAGTGTGTTATCACTCACAGTATTTAACAGTTGACAACATCTTCTTGCAAACTGCGAACTTGAGTATTCCCAGATGCTTGGCTGAATCTATCAAAATGCCTCTGATGCTCTCGGGCTCCTGGATGTTGCGTCTGACTCTGGAACATGTTAAAATCAATCCAACACTACTTAACAACAATTAAAATCTATTTTAGCAGACATGGGGTTTTACATACCTTTGCTTTGTTTCCTTGTATTCCTAAATTTGAAGAAAGAATGGAGGAAAAAAACCAATGTATTATTTTTCATAAGAAAAAAGACTCAATGTGTGGTTGATTCAGGGTTATTGGGGAAATATCCGAAGAGTACCCATGTATGCAAAGAGCAATGGGCCCTCCGCTGAGAGGTTTTCTATGCATAACTTCAAGAGCCCTACTCTCAACATTGTTAGCCTTTTTGTTACACAAACTCTATGATTCGGTTTTAATACTTTACTCTAACCAGTTGATGATTTGCATCATTACACCCACATCTTATTCCTTTAGCAGGACTGCACAATGCATTATGAGCTTCAAGCTTGAGCGTTTCCAGCAGCACTACTGACACAGTCACTGTATGTTATACAGGTTGATTAGTATTCTATATAAATCTATTGTAAAGCAGAAAGATTACATCTTTATACGGTGATTAGCAAAGCATTTTATTCCCTGTGAAGTTTTTCACCTTTCAATTATAGCCGCAAAGTGATTTGTGATAAGGGATTTGTAGGTGAAAGATGGAAAAAAAAGCTTATGATTGTACATTGTTAAGGAAATTATAAATGGTCTTTAAATTGTTTTCCAAAAACATATCTGAAAGCCGAAATGTTCAGTTTAAATCTTGACTCAGTGGATTCTAAACTCCTTCCCACAGAAGCCAAAATGCCCAAGTTATAAAAACAAATCTTAACAGACATCATTTTTTTTGTCTGCCTCCTAAGCATTAAACTGAATTTGCAAAGTTTTTAAAAAAAACGAATGAGTATTAAGTGATTTCTCTCACACTCCTTTAAAAAAGTTAGCAGCAGGAGGGCTTTTCCAAGCTAATGTATGTTGTACACATGAAAAAACTTGAAATTCGTAACATTCTGTTTCTCTGGTTAATTTCTAGAACATGTTTGGTAGTTATGATCCAGTAAAAATCCTACATTTTGTTGTTTTTTTTCTTTCATATTTTGATTTGTGTCATAGCAGGAAGCAGGTTACAGAGAGGCATTGCTGATTTTGGGAAGAAGCTTTACCAAATCAATCCAATCCAGATTAAAGCATTACTCCTTTTTGGAGTCATTTTAATTGAACCTTAACGTTAATTGTTTAGATATCAAAGTAACTGGTGTTATTTTCTTGCAGTTTGTATTCACTTAGTGAGCTAATTTTCAATTTGTTAATGTATCTTTTGTATAAAGACATTTTAGAACACATAATAGGAGACTGTCGAATCAGTACGTAAAATGAAATAAATCTAACCGTTTAAGTAAAGAAATAAGCCCAATAAGCATTTAAATGTACCTTTAAAAACGGTAAATCCTTTGCTCTGAGCACTATGTCTAGTTTGCTGATAGTTGAGTTGAGAGTCTTTATATCCTCTTCGATATCTTCAATCTTGGAATACATGACCTGGATTTTTTTCCCCTTTTCCTCTCTTAGATCCCTCAGTCTCCTCTCCTCTTCCTCCTTGAGGAACTGGTGAAGCTGCAGAAATTCCTCCTTCACTGCCAACTCGATTTGCTCACCTTGAGTCTGTAATGAAAGAGCAGGCTGGTTATTCAGCATTTTCTCAGATGGAGATAAAAACCTTTCCATTCCTCAATGAGGAAGGTGACTGTAAAGCTCAACATAAAGATTAAAAGAGTAGATTTGGGGAAATAATCCAGGAAAAAAGAACATCTCTAAAGCTTTTACCTCTAAGTAGGCTTTAGTTTCCTCCCATTGGTGCTTTGTTTTACTCATTGTTCTCACTTTTTTTCTTAATGACTCAAGGATGGCAGTCATTTCCGCCTGAAATGAGAATCGTAAAACACCTTTTAAAAACATTGATGTCTTATATATCAAAATGCAGCTCTTATACGGAAATGAGATAGAGATTCCAGTTTATTATCATTCAATTCTGATATTTTGGCAATGAAAAATCACTCAAGCATAAGAATTGTCATTACCCTCCCATGCATAATTTTTGCTTGCTTCACTCTGACTGTACCTTTTTCTGTTGAGCTGCTTCCTCCACCGGACTGCATTTATGCATCCTATGGTCCTTAGATAGCTGGCAGACCAGACAAATGGGCACCTCATCGCTGTTGCAGAAGATCTTCAGCTTCTCGTTATGAATCTGACATATCTCCTGAGCCATAGCCTTTCTTTTTTGAAACTGTTCCACAGCTATCGTCAGATCTTGGTTGATGGGAGGCGTCCCACAGAAAGACTCACAGCCGCACACGGGGCATTCTTTACTTTTTTTCCATTCCCAAAAATTTTGCAGGCAGAGTTTGCAAATGTTGTGTCCACATTCCAAAAGTACTGGAAATGAATAAATGTTGGTACATTGGGGGCAAGATATCTCCTCCTCCTCAGATGTTCTAGTAGATAACATGTCGACGGCTGCCTACAGAATGATAAGGAAAGAAAATGTCCTCGTTGCTTGGAGGAGGTGTAATTCCAGTAAACGCTGCTCAGCTGGTTGAGCAGGTTCAGAATCCAACCATTTCTAAGCTTCTACGTCATGATTATATCAAGACTTTTCTGTAAAGCTGTTTCTCTAATAGGAACGAAGAGAATTTGAAAGTAAAAACACACGTTTACTGTAACTGACCTTTATTTTCAAAAATTAAACATGTCCTTATGAGACAGAGTAACATGGTATCACTATATATCCCAACTGTATATTTGAAGCCTGAACTCATCATGACTAAAAAAGAAAACAAGTCAGAAACAGAGGTTGTGGCATTGCTGCTCTTGTTTTCAAAGACTGGAGGCAAAAACAGAGGTAGTTTATATGGTTAAAGGAACTGGCAGAAAAATCTCTTTCTTCTGACTACAAGCATTAACTTTAAATAAAATCTATCTTAGCAGGTACACACAATGAGTCATCATTTTTTTAAAACATCAAACAAGAACCAGTTTGTATTCAGAGGGAAAATCAAGTTTCCTGAAGTCCAGAGAAACACATCATTGTGCAGAAATGGTAAATTAGTTTGCTATAAAGGTGAACTTCCCTTCATCATCATGTAGAGCGTGTAAAACAAAGACATTAAAAGGTCATTTCAAGGTTCCTCCACATTTTTTTCTATTTAAATATTCCAGACAAAAAGTCCTTTATCCTTAACTTTAAAAGATAAAACACTTCAATATTCTTCAGATATTTCTATAATTTGTAGGCTGATTATGAAGAATCAAGGAAAGACAGAGGAAAAAGGACATGAAAATCACGTAAAGGAAGACATAAGGAAGAAGAGCAAACTAAATAAGGGAAAGGCAAAATGAGAGAAGCTGTGCGAAGAGAAAGCTAAAAAAAAAAGGGTATATGGGCAAGGAAGTGAGAAAGGACAGAGGATGAGATGACAGCGCATTTAAAGAATGCAAATGGAATAAAGTCTGTAAATAAGTGTATACTTTATGTCTTAAAACCTGGGAAATATACAAATTAAATGAGATTTTTTTTCCAGACTGTGTATGATGAACCCTATGAAGTAAAGGCTGATGTTCTGAGGGGAAATAGCCGCAGTAGATCACCTTCTACTTTTGGTGCACAGACTCCAAATTAACCGATTTTAAAGACACCTAACCACAAAAAGAAGCCTTTTTTTAAGGGAAGGATAATATTTTTCCTACATATAACAAAAACGCGAAAAAATAAATCCTTTACATGGAATATAAAATATAAAACGCAAGGACTATTAAGAAATACTCTAATAAACAGTTAAATAAATAAATACATTGCTTTTCAATGTTATACTATTGCTTAGTTACACGTTTAGCTGTTTTTGGCTCTGTTAATCAAAAAAGCCAATCCTTTTTTCACCATTTTTCCCCAGTGATATAAACAATCAATCAAATAATGCATTAAACTGAATTTTATCCCCCTCCCATAAGAAGCTGTGTATCTACATGATTGTTTGCAAGGCCCTTCTTCCCCACTAAAAATAATGAAAATAATTATATTACAGCTGCATGAATCATTTTTTGTAAAGACATACTAGTTTTTCAATGCTTAAGAGATTTTAGTTAGCTTTAGAAAAATATAATACATTAAAATACTCAAATGTTTACCAGAAAATGACAAGAAAACACTATGTACATGAATTAAAAACAATAATAAAACCATTACATCCAGGCATGACTGTGCTGTCACGTGAAAAGCAGTTGCTATTAAAAAAAAAAAGAAAAAGATTGAGGTGAATTTTGACAATACGCATGGTTTGGTTTGTTTGTTTCTTTTAATATCAGACTTATTCTTTCATAAATAAGTTCATCCCATCTTTTAAAATAGCTCTTAAACAAACATGAGCCAGAACAAGAATAACTTGAAGTTTGTGATCCTTATCCTGTGTTTATGTTGTAACTCATTTGATTTTTCAGCTTATCTCACAACTCAACGCCGTCAGTTATGCAGTATCTCCACTGATGAACCTGTACTGATGTCTAAATGACACTCAGGCCCTAATCTGTGCTTGTAAGCAACCGATCGGGACGCTCTTGATTCAGAGTAGCCATTCTGTGTGCAGGGAAGCAAACTTTGGAGCCGGTATGAAATGTAGCTCATCATAAAGCTGTCTGCTGCCTTCAACTCAGTCAAGAGCCTTTAAGGTATCACGCCATGTCTCCAGAACTAACATGTAAACAGTCGTTGGATGTCACACAAATCCAGGCTTGATAGAAGATTTGAAACACTTAGGGCACCCTTTTGTCCCGTTTGTCTGCAGACACCTGGAAAAATTAACATAAAGACATTTCAGATTAGCAGATCACTTACTTAAACGTCACTCTTAGACCTACAAACAAGCTATAATTAATTGTGAAGTGTATTAAAAGACATACATCTTACAAACATTTTAGAGATAAATACTTTTTTACTGACAAGTCTTTTTGTAATACAAATTAAGAAAAGTTAATGCAATCAATCCAATGCAAGAAGAATTGGAAAAAGAAGAAACATTTCCTGATGTCTTATGCTAACTAACATGCAATAAGAGTCTTATTACTGTATAAAAAAGACAAAAGAGAGGGCCTGGTATACATATGTATGCCACATTTACTTGAACACCATTAAAATGGACTGTCTTTCAATCACAAACATGTGAATCACACTTTAAGCTGGTAAGTGTGCCTGTTTTCATTCATTACATTTCAAAAGTTGAGGGAAACATAGTACAGTGCAGCCGCCATGATGCTACTACTGATGTTCTGCGGAAGGATGAGCAGCTGAAACCTAAGCTCAGGAATATCAGACTGTGTGAACTATTCAGGGCATTGGCTGAGCTCACTAGGAGTGCAAAGAAATATGCCACAAAGGAATGCTGTTGCAGCTCTACTGCAATGGATCTGCACAGCTTTGAGTCAGGTGGGAGAAAAAAAGAGGCATGCCACACTTTTCAGTTATTTACTTGTATTAAACAAGGTTAATTTGTAACTAAATAAAATGTATGAAAGTTTGAGAAGTACAAATACATCAAAATTCACATCAAGCTATCAGATGGATGAGGAAAAGAACACTGCAAATATTTATTTGTTAAAGGAATAGTACACCCAAAACATGATTAGCCTTCATTTTCTACTCACCCTCATGCTGAACAACACTCTGGAGTACTTTTTTGATATCTCAAATGCATCTGGAGATCTGGGAGGCTTCTTGCTGTCTGCTGACATTCAAATAATGGAGTTCTATGGTGCCCGAGGCAGAAAGGTCCATAAAAGTCCACAAAAAACGTGTGAATATTCCTCCATACTGCTCGTCCAATGTATTCCAAGTGTCCTGAGTGGGTAGCGTCCATAATTTACTCGGAACGAAGTCATTTAGAATGTTTTTAGAGCATAAACAGTAGTGTATAGGATTTCCTAAATGCGCGTTCACGAGTCTACGGAAACCGCGGCAGACCAAACCAGATGAAAGTGCACATTCAGCGTCTGCTCTGCCGATAATGCAAGCGTAGAAGAAGAAATGTGCTGTTTACCTGTGCAAAGAAAGAAACAACGAAAGAAAAATATCTGAGGACTTCAGTGTTGAGGAAGAGCATGAGTTCTTTGCCGAGCTGAATGCGCACTTTCGTCTGGTTTGGTCTGCCGCGGTTTCCGTAGACTCGTGAACGCGCTTTTAGGAAATCCTATACACTACTGTTTATGCTCTAAAAACATTCTAAATGACTTCGTTTCGAGTAAATTATGGACGCTACCCACTCAGGACACTTGGAATACATTGGACGAGCAGTATGGAGGAATATTGACACGTTTTTTGTGGACTTTTATGGATCTTTCTGTCTCGGTCACCATAGACCTCCATTATTTGAATGTCAGCAGACAGCAAGAAGCCTCCCAGATCTCCAGATGCATTTGAGATATCAAAAAAGTACTCCAGAGTGTTGTTCAGCATGGGGGTGAGTAGAAAATGAAGGCTAATCATGTTTTGGGTGTACTATTCCTTTAATAATGCAGAGTCAAGGCATGTTAGATTAGAAGGCTGAGAGTTAACACCTACTTGAGATGGAAAATGTGGGAACAGGGTAACGCCTGCAGCTTTTGGTCCCTGTCCCCGATGGACTCCCCACACATGCCGCAGTAGAGCTCCAGCTCCTCGACACACTGCAGGAACTTCACCACCTGCTCTCGGAGCTCCTCCTGTTGCTTGTTGTTTCGGTAAATGCCTTCACGAAGGCAGTGTACCTTCAGGGTGCACAGCTGAAGTACAAGACAAACACAATCAACTGTTAGACTGCTGCAGTTTTGGTAAAACTCTATTGACCGACACTGATTTCAATCACCTTGTTTCCCATTCCATCTGCCAGTTCCTGTGCTCGCTCCAAAGATTCAAGAGCCTGGAGGAGAGGAAGGTATTTACCAGAAACAAACGTTGATGTTTGAAGAACAAGTTCAAGAAATGCATTAGATTTATCAAACAGAAAGGGTACTGGTATAATTCTGACCTTGTCAAATTCTTTCTGCAGAAGCCAACATTTTGCGACACCCAAGTAGACGTGCGCTTGACCAAGACGGTTTCCAATCTCGGTCATAATGCCCAGTGCTGACTCATAACGAGGGAATGCTTTCTAAAAGAATTGAAAGAAAGGCAGTGTGTACACATCTGTGTATATATCACAAAGTATTACAGATTACTGAGATTACTGTAAATAAATGGGAGAACAAAAATGGAATTAAGCAGGTCGACTATACTGGACAGACAGGCTTAACATGGGAGCTTTCATGTAACCTTACATTGACATCATGCCTGCAGCGGTGTATGTCTGCAAAGTTTAGCAAGCACAGAGCTTGAAGAGGTCGGTCGCCATGTTGCAGGGCAATCTTCATGGATTCCTGCAGAAGCACAAAACAACCATTTTTCAGCATGGTCTCTGTATCCCTATTTTAAGTTCCTGACATAAACATCTTGACAGTTATGATGACACACGTGTTTAGTTATGTATGCTCTCAGTAAATGATGTCAGTAAATGTTTAAAAAGAGAGAATGTGTAGAATGTGGATACTCTGGTACTGAACCATCTCAGGATCTGTTAGGCAAAATGTGACAAATCTGAAATGTTTCCTGCTATCTTTATGCTATCATTTCAAACTCCAAAGCAATGACATCAAGTTATTTTTCACCCTCTGTACGCAATTAGAACAGTGAGAGAACGTAGGCCGCCCTTTTCATTAACACTTCAAACCAGCGCCTCTGAGAGCATATTTTAGTAGATGTCTCAGGCCTCAGACAGCAGAGCAACTGGTGCTCGCACCTGTCAGCAGTAACCACAGCCTCTATTACAGCATCCTGGTGAGCAAACCTAGACCAGGAGATTCTTTAAGTCCCTACGGAGACGAGATGATGCGGCCGCCTTATAAACAATACCTCGCAGCACTCCATGGCGTCTGCCAGACGCTCCAGCTTCCTGTAGGCCACAGACATGTGAAACTGGCTCATGGCGCGATACTTGAGGCTCCAGCTTTTACCGTAGTCGTTGACGAGCTCAGCTGCCTTGCAGGGGAAGAACAGGGCTTTCTCGTAGTCCTGTTGTCAGATATGAACAATTAGAGCTCTTCAGTTTAAAATGCTCCAAATAAAAACCACAATAAACCACTTGGTAGAAAAATTAGTAGCAGCATTTATGGCAGAGGGAGACTAGATTAGTATTTTTTTTCTTAAAATAAGTGCATTTGTTCTTGGATTGAGGAGGTAAAAGAGACATTTTACCAATGGAACAAGATAATTTACACTTAAAATAAGAAAACACAATTGCATTGTCTTATTTCAAGTGCATATGATCTAAATACCTTATTTTAATTGTAAAAATACTCACTCCATTCACTGCAAAAAAATGAAATCTAAATAAGTCATTTCTTCTTAAAATATGTGCATTTTTTCTTGAATCAAGGATTTAAGTGAGACACTTTGCCAATAGAACAAGACAATTTCACTTAAAATAAGAAAAAACAATTGTATTGTCTTATTTCAAGTGCATTTTATCTAGATACCTTATTTTAGGAGTAAAAATACTAATTCCATTGGCAAATCATCTTATTTACCTGCTCAAATTAAGGGTAAATACCCTTAATTTAAGAAATTTTTACTCATTTTAAGATAGTTTTTGCAGTGTTGGCAAACTATCTCATTTACTTACTCAAATTAATGGTAAATACACTTAATTTAAGAAATGTTTACTTATTTCAAGATCGTTTTTCCAGTGCAGAGCTGTATTACTTTTCCTCCAATGGCCTTTTTCTGTACAAAGCTGATCAGCTTGCTCAAAGAAGGCAGCTATGCATTTTATCTAGCATTTTATATAATAATCTGCTTAGAAATATTTCAGTTTGTATCAAATACAGATATTCACATCAAAGAAGTACCAACTATCACATCACAGATGAAAGTCTCATTCTGAAACTACAGTTGACAGGCTATAAACAGCATGTATGGTGATCTACCTAATGAAAGATTCAACTGACTAGGGAGAACTAAATGTCCACCAGATATAAGCTTTTTTTTAGATTTGTTAGTGACTATAATAGGAATAAAAATGTTCTAAAAAAAACCCCTAGAAAACTGCTTTTATCTTATTTTCTAACCTTTATGTTTTGTTTTTTTCTTTTCAAAAACAAGTATTCATATCATCTTGTAAACATGTGGTATTGGATTTTGTGTAGATAGCATACCGCCGCAATATTTATTAGTCAGGTTTAGAGTAGGAGAATCATACCAGCTCATGTTCTTTTATGAGTTTCATATTTAGCCAGATCCTCACAGTGTCAAAGAAACCAATCCTAGTAGGAATTAAAAGGGTTCAGCAGGAACCCCAACCAGTTTATTAGAGCAAAAATTACGAATGGAAGGACGGCTGTAATGACTTTGTGGTGCTAGATAACTTAATTTGTAGGTATTATATAGAAAACCAGAAGATGGGGAAGAATAAAAGCTCTTTCACTAAGGTCAGGAGTTTAACGCTGGAAAGCAAAATCCAAAACTTAACTGTTTCATTGTAAACCTTCTACTTCACATTTCTATTTATGAAAAGCAGGAGAAAAGCAATAGAATTAAGATCAATTTTCATTTTTTTGCTGTGAGCTGTCCATGAGCATAAAGCTGCATTGCTGTTTGCTTTATACAGGCAAATAATACCCTGGCCCTCTCTCTGGTGTCTTGCTAAAAGCAGATTCAGTGATTTTTAGTTGATAAGCTGCTTAATTTAAAAAGGAAATTTAGACAGAAAACAGTGTAGACAGATTGAAATGAAGCATCCTATAGTTCACCTTCAGATGAACGTAGATGTTTCCCAGACTGCAGCAGACTCTGCACTCCAGCATCTTGTCATCGTTGTTGTGTGCATAGCGCAGGGCCTTCTCGTAGCTCTCCAGGGCCTTCTGGAACACGCTGAGCCCCAGGTAGGCATTGCCCATGCTCAGACACACTTGGCCGTTAAGCTGCAGGCTGACAGTGGTGCCCTGCATGTTTAAGCAGGTCTTGCAGTAGGACACCGTCTTCTGGAAGTCGCACAGCTTCTCGTTGCTACGGGCCAAGTTCAGGTAGCCTTCAGTTAGGTAATCTGGGTCCTCCATTTCACGAGCCGTGTCAATCTGTTCCAGGGCGTACTACAAAGTAGCATGTTGGTAAACAGAAAAAGATCATGAAAAATCTAATTTCAGCTAAGCACTGAACCTTCAACCCCCATTAAACCATCTCTGTTTTCTGCTTTTTTTGTCAAGGTTCTTTTTTATCCCCAAACTAAGTAACACAAAAAGTGGTTGTCAAATTATCATCTTATTTATTAATAAAGCTTCACCTTATTAAAAATTCCCCTTAAACCTAATTCTTTATTGTCTCACCATGGGTATCTGTCATTAATACCTGCAATCACTGACAACATGTTTTACGCCTCTGTGAATGAACTTTGACCCATTCGTCCTTGCAGAATAATTTTCAGTTCATTATAGGTTTATTTTTTCATAAAAGTAAGCAATTTAAAGTCATAACACAAAATCTGCTCTGTCTGGACTTCTGGCCTCTAAAAAAACCCTTCTGTTTTCTTTCAAACTTGCTCAGACCTTGACTTGCTGCTGTGCCTCAGATCATTGCCCTGCTTTGTAACTCAAGTGTTCTTGGGCTTAAGGTCCAAAATTGATGACCAGACTTTTTTTTTCTGTTTTCCTTTTTTTTCCGGGGAGCAAAATTCATGGCTCCATCAGTTTTGAAAAATCCTGCAGGTCCTTAAGCACGCAGCACCACGCAACGCAGCACCATGATTCTACCACCACCATGTTAGACTGCTAATATTACGCTCTGAAACACTGTCAGTTTACTCCAGATGTAATGAAACACACCCTGAAATGTTTCCCTCTAGTTTTGTATGCCCACAGAAGATTTTCCCCAAACGTTTGAAGATTATTTCAAATCGGAGATGTGCTTGTGTCTTAGTTTTGGTCAGCAGTGAGGTTTTGCATTGAAATCCTTCAGAAATACCAGATTCACTGTGTCTCTTTTTTTTTAAATAAATGTTAAATCCTGAACACTAACCTAAACTCTGGCAACAGAGGAACAGAAAATAGTTTTCCTAAACATATAGCATTGCATTTATGAAGGAAAACTGCTTTTTTGTTTTAAAGTTATCCCCTTGATGAATGAATTAATCATTTGAAAACAGTTTTATATATTTATTCAGAACATCTTTGTTTGATATTACATTCAAGGGTGAATAAACCCAAAGTTTCTTTTTTTTTTGTGAGTCAGCAGATTTTACAGCTTTCTATTTTGTAGGACTTCTTGTTTTTTTGAACTGCACTGCTGTCTGAGTGTGGGTGATAAAATCAACAAGACACCCTATACTGACTCTAAGGTTGCAGGATACTTATTTACTCAGCTCGGAAGCCCACAGATTAATCCATGTTTCTCATGGCTGTAAATGGAAGGTAGTTTACCTTGAATCTTTTTACTGGAAATGTTCAAATGTTAGAAGAGCAGAATTGAGCTGACATGTTGATGATCTGACGTATGACGCGATGAAACACTGTAACACTCTGTATTTACAACTACATACTGATTACGTAATATGAATATCACATAGTTAAAGGTTCATTATACTTTGATTATTGGCTGATGAGGGTATAGGACCTTTATTAAAGCATAAACTAAGGTTACTTTACTTTGATGTCATATTACAGAATGCACCTTTAAAGAAATATTTCATCAGCAAACATTGAGTTCAGGGTGTCAGGTTGCATACCTTGAGCATATCTTTGTACTTTCCCATTTCTGAGTGGGCTGTGATCAAGCAACCCAGCACTCGAAACTTCCCTCCAGGATCCGAGGTCTTTTCCAGAACTTTTGTCCAAACATGCAGGGCTTTGTCCGTCTGATTAGACTGATATAACTTCAGGCCCTTCTCTATCTGTTGCTTGGTTTGGTCCTGGCCCATTTCTGGTGCAATGCGCAATGTGAAAATATTCATTCGCTTAGGCCATGCAGTTTCATCAAGGCAGGAAGAAAGCAGATCTTTCCTGTTGAAGATTCCTTGAAGATGATCCCCTCAGAAAGATTGGTACCAGATCCCGCTTTATCAGCTCCGGCTGAGCTGAGACGGAGAGGAAACTGGATCCAGGGAGGACGAGCGGTGGCACACCAAGAACATTATCACAGAAACTTTTGCAAAGAGCTGGAAAACTGAACTTGTCTCACATCAAGAGTTCTGAGATTTCTCCTTTTTAAATTCTGTTGAAAAAAACATAAAAAGAACCAAGTATCCCAGCTGAGTGCTGGCAAAGGTTTCCCAGAATATCTGCTCCCTCCACACCCCAGCAAAAGGAATTCTTAGCACCCCCCTTCGACCAACCACCCCACTCCACCTTCCTCCTGCTGCGGCTCCAGCAGATGGCCTTGTCACTCCAGACCATGTGTCCCTTCAGGAATTAATGTTCTGCCCTCAGCAAACTGTCCCAAGGTCACTACAGCTCCTAGCAATCTACCTTTAGATGAGCTAAACATGACTGAGAGATTAACAAGGCAGACACTGTGAGTCTGGACACTTTAAAACAAAGATCCCAAACAGAATCTGGGTGGACACATGGGAGAAGACATCGACTGTAATAAGAACCGACATTCTTCTGTTCAAGGCTTTTTTTTTGGGTAAAAGAACTGCATTTCAGACTTTGCTGCTTATCGTTCTCATTGGTAGCTCTTGATTAGGTGCATTTGAACCCCAACACCCACCCTTGGACCCGCCCTCTGCAGCCGATGCTCAGAATAGTTTGTGCAGTCTGACATGTTCCTGAGCTTAGGTTTCAGCTGCACAGACTCCTGCAGAACATCAATGAGATCAGTGTTAGCCCTCTTGTAATAACTTCATTTCTTCTTTAACTTTTTTTTTTAACTCCAAAAATCAACGTTTGCTCAAAGTTGAATCTTTACCACCTTTAAGCAAAGGTCCTATTGATCCAAAGGCACAGATGCCTGTAAAAGATGTTTTAAAAGAGATCATGTGCATTGGTATTTCATTCATTTGTATCAGAACTTTGCTGAATCTCCTTTTGACACAATCAAAGCAGCAATATTAGCAATATCTTCTATATCTCAATCTGTCTGAAATAGCTGCACATGCTAATCTGCAAAACAGACCAGATTGCATGATTACATTTCTAACCCTTGACATAAATTCTCAATTAGATGCAGGTCATTTTAACACAAGCATTTGGTTTGATTGTTGTAAATCTGCTTGCAAACTTAGCATCGTTGCCCTGCAGCAAATTAAACAATCAACTCGGTCTGAAATCTTGAGCAGTCCTTAAGGTTTTCTGTCCAGACTGATCTCTAACCAGCCTTCTTATTTCTGCAGAATAATCCCCAGAGAACATTTGTACCACGGCCATAATTCATTCTCAAACATCGTCTTCATGCTGATGTGCAGCTCTGTTTTTCTGCTACATATATCATTTAGACGTGAGGCTGGAAACGTTGGTCCCATCTGACCATAGGGTTACAATATTTTGCAAATTGATTAATCTGTTGATTCTTTTATAGATTTTTGGATTTATTATCGGATTGCAAAATGTTGCTGCAAAGCTTAAAAGTATATATGCTGGTGAAGATTCTCAGTCATCATGGTCATAGTCATTCCTTTAACTTTATGGAACTAATATTGTGCACTTTGAGGACTTGATAGAGCATTCTATGGACATTTCTGTATTTTTTTTATTTATTTATGTAAGATAACTGCTTTGAGTGCACTTTTCTTTGAGCTAAAGGCATGTAGAGTCTATACAGAAACGATTAATCGATTACTAAATAGTTGACGATTATTTAACTAACTGATTAATCGCGATTATTCCGATTGTTTGAGCCCTATGTTTCAAATTTTTTTTTGCTCTACCTTGTGTCAAAGGGCAACCAGAACATTGCACAGCTTCCTTTCTAATATTTGTTGTCTTTGTGCAATTTTTTCTAGAGGTGAAATATGTTCAGTGTCCAATTCTCCCACCTGAGCTGTGGATTTCTACAGCTGCTCCAAAGTTAGCATAGACGGTTCTGTTTCCTCTCAGATAAATGGTTTTCCATTCTATGATGGTTATACAGTGCTTTATTAGATGTAACAATTTAACCAGCTTCTCAACAACCTGGCTTGACTTTGTTATCCTTTTCATTTAAACGTCTGCATTTTCTGCACAGTTGGACGTAGATTCGCACAAATGTGGCCTTTTTTTTATTAATTAGGTGACTTCTGGGAAAACTTGGTGACAATGGATTTTATTTAAGGTATCAGAATATAGAGGGGGTTGAAAGAAAATTAACACCTTCCTAGATTTGGATGCTAACTGTTTTTATCTAGTTAGCAGCTACTTTTGCTGAACAAGAATGAGTCTCAGAATGGTTAAAAAAACGTATTTAAAAGTTTTTTTTTAACAGAACTGAACTGTTTGATTAGGGAAGTTGTGTTTCAGATTAAATCCAAGCAAGGCTAAATAATCCCACTAATATGGCGTCTCTGTCTCTCGGATTAGAAAACCAAATTCTAGCACCATCTGTTGGTCTTTCACATAAATTCCCCAAAAAATTGCATGGATGATGAACGTTAAACAATAATACCTTTCTGGGTTGTGTTCTTTTTTTGCAAACAACACAAAGAGACGCAGGTTTACCAAGATGTTTTACCATTTATCGTAGCACATCAACTTGAACCAGAATTGCACACATAAAAAAGATGCAAAACTTGAAATCTTACAAAACATTCCCTGATAATATCTTTACAGACTTAACATGTGTGAATATTTAGCCATTTTTTTAGCAGCCTAATGTTTAGAATGCAGTGAGGAACTTTTACCGACCAGCACGTTCAAAGCAGTTCATGCATGATGTTATAAATGTTAAGCGCACAGGAAACAATGTTCATCTCTGGTCACAGTGTTTACTCAGCTAATTGATCCACAGCAACACTAGAACAGAAGCGACTGATGTTTAGATTTTCAATATGATGGAATGAAGTCACTCTGAGTCACACTCTGAGTCTGTTTTCTGATTTATTGCGATGACTACGGAACATAGAGTGGTAAATGTAGGGCAGCTTAGGCCAGCACAAACTGCCAGTTCGTTAGGAGGATCTTTATACCTCTGATAACTGAGACCACAGATGTGGCGGGGTTAAACTTTAACGTATTTGCGTCACCTTTCTTACATTTGTCTCTGAAGACGTATATGCAGCCGTTACAGCTCGCCACCTTCCACAGAGAAGGGATGCAGCTCCACACCTCTGGGAAGCGCAACCGTGTGAAGCTCTCCAGCAGAGGGTTGTAGCACACCAACGAGTCCCCTTCTCCAACGATGAAGATCACGTCCATGTGGACGGCGGCGTGCATGCAGCCTGCGAACGGCAGCATGTAGGGCTTGATCTGACACTTCTGGGAGGAGGTGTCAAAGCACTGAATGAGACGAGACGGCTTTGTGAAAAAGTCCATGTCGTTCTCCTCCCCTCCGAGCAGGTAAATGGTTCCTCCCAGGTTGACGCCAGCGGCGGCGGAAACGGCGGTGTCCAACTGGCTGGTCTCTGTCCACACGTTGTCCTTCACCGTGTAGTAAATGATGGCGTTGGACAGCGTGTCCTGCAGCGTCTTGCCTCCCAGGGAGTAGATGGCGTCTTCAGAGCTCACAGAAACCATAGTGTGGTGGAGGCGGTCTCTAGGCAACGGGGCACAGCGCTCCCAGTCCATGGTGTGCATGTTGCACTTCCACATGCGGCGGGGGATGGACCCCCCCACCACGTACAGGTCCCCACCATGTTTACAGGCGGCAGTGATCTGATGGCACAGGCTGTTCTGGCCGCTCACGCTGATGGCGTCGTCTTCGTCACAATGCAGCGACACCGCCAGGGAGTGAGTCCTGGTCTCCTCTTTACCGATCAGATAAATGTGGACGTTTTCCCCAATTTCCTAAGAAGGAACCACAGAGGTGTTAGGTTTTATTATTTATACATCATGTGGACTGTTAATTTGTTAGTCAGATTAGACAGAGCAGAAGGCCTTCCTTCACATTGTGGATATCACGGTGTGTACGGAGGTCATCTAATCAAGACAGCCTTCGTGTCTCTAAGAGTACACAGGATATGGGCACATCTTGGAGCCGGTCTGATAGGAGAGCTGCTGTATCTGTAACCCTGAGACAGAGAGGCAACCTGCATGGAGTTCAAGACATGGATGGCGTGTCAGTTTCTGATACGGACAGCTAAGCATCCACATGATGCAACACAGACTCAGAAGGTATAAGAAGCAGGTGATGACGTTGTTCAGGGCTCAAACTTTGCCGGACGCTTGCGGACGTGATTTTTGAGACCACAGCTGTGCATAGCTCGAAGCATTTTTCTCTGTCCTGTAACGACCTGATCTGGAATAAACTCTGTTACTTTTTTCTCCTGTTTTATAGTCCTTTTTTATATGGTTTTAACGAGTTTGAGTTAAGAGTAGTAAATAACTTGCTCCCAGGAAAAGAACCGGTGAGAAGGCCCCTGGGGCGCTACAGCCTTCCTTACAAGGGGACAAATCCTTCTCACTTTAACAGAGGTTTCAGTTACAGAAATACGCATGTAGAGAAATAAAGATCTTATTATCAACACTGTAAAAAATGTCAACATTAAAAGGTCCTGTTATATCTATTCACTTTAAAATCATATTTTTCTTCCTTTCCATGTTTCGTGTTTGAAGCTAAGCAATTTGAATAACTTTGATTTTTTTTTAGACACATGCACCTGTTAAATGTGAAGTTAAGTCTCCCTAAAGACGGTTACGCCTCGGAGCGTCGCTTCCGGTTAATTTCCTGGAAGCAAGTTACCTAGTATAATTATTCTTAAAGGTATACTATGCAACCGGTGTTGATTTTCCAGCGAGGCTCCCCCCAGAGGGCGAAAGTAAAAGTGCACTGTCGTAAATATGCTCAGCTGTTCTCCTGGTTTCTCCGTCAAGCCAGGCGCGGTTGTTTTGAGCTTAGCAGACACGCGAACGCAACGAATCACCATGTCTATTGCGGTAAGTGACTATTTTGTTCCAATTTTCGAGTTTGAAAATTTTGCATGTTTTCATACATTATTTGTTATGCATGTGCTTTCGCTGTTTTCTCGCTGGTTCCGCCATGATAACTGCACAAATATCGCCACTGCGCTAGCAACGAGCATTCCTTTCACTGGGGGCGTGTAGCAGTTCTCGCCGTAAAGCAAGACCGACTCTCGCGATGCACGAGACTTCTGAGCCTGTGGGTGTGGGACGAGGGCTCCTGCAATTACAAGTACGGTAATTCCCCTACAGACCACCAGGGCGGCTGAGAAAACCTTTGTTCGACCTGAAATGACTCATTTAATCATCCAAAACGTTATGGAACACATTAATTAGCTAAAAAATGTTGCATAGTATGCCTTTAACTAAAACTGGGTAAAACCGTATAAAAAGGACTATGAAAACAGGAGTAAAAGTTAACAGAGTTTATTCCAGTTCAGATCGTTACAGGACAAAGAAATTGCTTGGAGTCGGAAAGGCTGTTGGTTAAAAACACCAGCAAGCGTTGGCATCCGGCAAAATTTATTTTGTCATTTTGTATACACTAGTGTATACAAAAAGAAATTTTGTTTAAAGGTAGGGATGGACCGGTTTATGAAAACCGTCCGAACCGTTCGGTTCAACTGTCTCGGTTCGGTTCGCGTGTGTTGCGTTCCGCTCATGCTCCGCTCCTTTTTCTCATAGGCGAAGCGATTACACTCCAGAGCAGAAGGTGACGGTACTGCGACCAAAGCCAACCACCAGTAGTAAACAAGAAGAAGAAGAAGCGAAGCAGCATAGCAGGGTGTAGCAAAAAAAAAATCAGTTGTGGAGTTTTGTGTGGGTATGGCGAGTGGGAAAGAACAGGAGTTGGAAGACGCGCCAGCAGCACTTTATAGGTCTGCTGTATGGAACCACTTTGCATTTAGAGTGACCTACGATGACGGCGGAAAGAAAGTTGTGGATAAAAGTGCAACAGTGTGCAAGCATTGTGCAACACGTTTTGTTTATGCTAACAGCAACACGACCAACATGTCAGGCTAACAATCAACATATACCGAACCGAACCGTGGATTTTCTGAAGCGATCCACCCCTATTTAAAAGAGCTGTAGACAATTTCATTTTTTAAAGTGCAGCCTTGAAAAACAGTAATGACCAGGTCATCTCCTGCTTCTTATACCTCATGAGTCTGTGTGTTGCATCTGGTGGATGCTTCGCTGTTCATGTCAGAAACTGACACGCCATCCATGCCCTGACCTTTGTGGCTCTTTGCCTCTATGCCTCAGGATTACAGATAGCTCTATCAGGATGTATCCTTATCCTGTGTATTTTCTACCCTCATTAGATGGCCTCTGTTCACACAATGTGATCCACCATGTGAAGCAAGGCCATCTACTCCATCTAATCTGGCTAACAGATTAACAATACACATGATTAATAAGAAAATAAAAAAATAAAACCAAGTTTAAAGAGAGGTTATTTACTTTATGCAAAACGATTTGGCTAGATAAGAACCCAGAGACCAGCTAAGGATCAACATCATCTGATTTCCTCCATTCAGTGATCACCCAATGCTGCAAAAAAATCTAGATTCTTTCCTCATGAAAATCGTGAAAAAACCATGACAATAACCACATTATTTAGCAAAAAATATATTTTACTCTTAGACTAGCAAAAATTAAGTGAATGTTGAGAAGAGGCTTCATGTATAAACAGGAATAATTTTATATTATTTTCTGCTGTGTTCAAATTAGCTCAATTATGGAACCTGTAAGCTACTTTTTTTCTTGCTTATTCAATGTTTAACACATAAAATGTTGATTTTACTACTAGTATTGGATCAAGACCTGGAAGAAAACTGAGAATCAAAGCTGCTCAATAAAAACTGATCTTTAAATTTTACCTTCAGATTCTCCTGGAGGAGGCAGGAGAACTCCTCCCTCTCAACCTTGTTATGGTTTATCCAAGACTCGATGGCCGTCGTTGGGTTCTGGGAGCTGGGAACTCCATCTAAACAAAAAAAACAACAAAAAGGCATTTGAAACTATATTAATATACCCATTTCACATTTGTATTTTTTAAAATCACATGTCAGGATCAAAGGAAGTTTGCAAAACATCCATTTCCTCTGAAGAAATAGTGACAGAGGTACATAAATTTGGACCTAAAGGATTTCTGTAAAGGTTCTTACATAGAGAGAAAAAGTAAACAGAAAAATATTTTATAGATTGACCATCTGGACTATATACCCTTGATGATGTCCAGTAGCAGACAGAGGGGCAGATTGAGATATTCTTCGGTCTGATGCAGCTGAGCCAGGTGGATTTTAGCGCACTGCTTGGCTGCTGTATACAGCTCCTGATCACTGTGTCTGTCTGCGAGCCACATCACCTAAAACCAAAACAAAAGATTCAGCATAAATAGTAAAACGGAGTAACATTTTATACTTAAAAAAACGAGAAATTACCTGCAAACAGTTCTTGACCTCCACCGTCCGCGAGAGGAAGCGCGAGCATTCCTCAAACAGAGCTGTCAGCTGGTACATGTCGGCCATCTCATAGGTGTCCTGCAGCTCCTCCACCCGCAGCTTAATGGTGCCGTGGTAGATGTAGTCGATCAGCAGCTGGAAGACGGAGGCGCTCACGTCCTTCAGCTCGATGGAGCGGTTGTGGGACTCTTTGAGGTTGGAGGTGAACATGGAGCGGAAGAAGCTGCTTTGCGCTGACAGAACCAGCCTGTGCAGGTGAAACTCCCTGTCGTCCACGGTGATGGTGACATCTGCGAACAGGCCGTCCTCCAGGCACAGGCTCATGATGCTCTTCACCACGCGGCTGGAGTGTGAGCGGTCAGTGAAGGTGTATCCTAGGAAGTAATTCTCCTCTCCCACAGAGCCACCGACGCTGACTCCGCCCTCCTCAATGGACTCCATATTTGATGCCTGTCACCATAAAAAATATAGAATATTTACACTTTAGACATTCAGTTACTAAGGAAAGGCCCCTCACTGTTCTCTAATCAACTCTGGATTAGACAATATTTAATTCTCATTAATGGTTGCTTTATGTCAGCTGTAAATTTCAGCTTTTTTCTTGTACATAATGAAGAATACATTAGAATTAATGTGATGCCAGACTGACATTAAACAAACAACTCATCAATAAAGAGCCTGTGAACTGATCCTCCTGTTGCTCCAATGGTGGTTTAGAAACACATTTTGAAGCAGGATAAAAACACAGAATAAAACAGAAAGATTTAAAAAAAAGTTTCTAAAAAAAAAATTTGTTTCATGATGACCTGTTGGAGCATGGCAAAATTAATAATCATAGTTATTTATTTTATATAGATTTTGTGGTTTTATAGGTTTCCAGATTTGACTTTTTCCCCAGAATCAAAGTTTGTTGTTTTGTCCATTTTTGTCATAAACTGAAACAAAGATTTGAGAATGAACGAGAAATATGAATGATAGTTGAAGTTGATTTAAAAAGACTTAGGATGGCTTTCAGTGGTTTTGTAGAAAGTGTTAATATTGTGCATTGCATGCTGTTGTATTGATGAAACTAAAGCATAAAAACACACTGAACAGTAATTAGTCCATAATTTAATTTAATTTTTTTACTTATTAGTCTTTGCATTAGCACTTCCTGTAGAAGACGAACCAAATTTTATAACAAATATTTAGGTTCTTCTTGTTGTTATATGAGTATGTGTTTCAGAGGGAGGAGTGTTGGTAATTTGGTATTTCATTTTTGACTGTGTCACTCAAAAGGGTAAGGAAATCCCAAATGTTCGTACAATCCTGAAATCAGCCAATAACAGTTTTAATATCGGCCCAAATCTCCATATTGATGTACCCCTACTAACAGTGAGCGGCTCAACATCCGCTTAAATAACAAAAATCATGCATACACATTAGATCTGTTAACAGAGCAGAAAGTATTTAGCCGATCAAAACAGTTTCCCTTTTTTTTTTCCTCAAGTAGAAGGTACTCCTATGGAGTACTTACTAAAAATGAACCAAAAAGTCGTTCTATACCAAACATAATTAGAAATTCATCAACAAACTGATCCAACAGGACTTAAATGTTCCTTTTTGATTATCTGAAAATTGAAACCCTTCAGAACATATTTTGCTTGATCGAATTCAACCATGGGCTAGGACGCTAGAAAGGTTGATTCTCTCTTCCTGTTGTGTGCTGACATGTTTGAGCGGAGGATGTGGGTTTCATTTTAACTTATAATACTAGGCAAAAGGGTATTTACTAGGTTTATGCAGCAGAGCCAGGCTTGGTGTGAGCCACCTCCAGCAGAACCAGGCTCCACTGACCCTGGTTCTGCTGGAGGTTTGTTCCCGTTAAGAAGGGAGTTTTTCTCTCCACTGTCACTACAAGCATGCTTGGTGAGAGAGATTGCTGAAAGTCAATGAGTCCATGCAATCAGCTGGTTTTCTTTAGATGGAAAACTAAAAACCAATCTGAATGTATGATCTGGTTGAATTGTCTCTGTATAGTGCCATGAGATGACTTGTGTCAATTGGAGCTAAATAAATAATATATTTATTATCCTAATGACCTATTTTGAATAATAAATAGCATATTACTTATCAACAGATACATCAGTGTTAAAATAAGCAGTCTGTGTTCAGTAAACTGATACGCTTTTAACAATAGCTTTAATAGATCGGTTAGTCTATGTGTGCCTAATAAATGCTCTCTGAAGTTCCACTGAGAACTGAATGCAGCAAGAAGTGAGAACGGATGCTGATCGGCTAAGCTAATGCTACTGCTAGCTGTATAGGCTGCGACAAGACAGAGCCGCCTGTTTGTTCTTCTGCTAAAGGTTCAACCCAAATATTCCAAAGAAAACTTATATAAACAAACATTGATTAATCGTAGAGATACGCTACCTTTATTTGCACGGCTGTGCCATTCAGAGGCAGTTAAACTGTTAATCGGAAGTAAACAGAATTTTAGTTGTTTAAACTCAAAATGCTTACTGCCCCCCTGTGGCACATTTCTGCTACTGCAGTTTTTATTTATTTATTTAATCCAGCAACAAAAAATATGCTCAGCTAATAGGATTTTTGCAAGAAAGTTGTGATTACAACAAAACAACAACAAAAAAAAAAATCAGTTTATAGATTTATGAATAATTAAACGTGATCTAGAATGGTTAGATGGTAAAATTTAAATATAGTTAAGGTTTTTAATCCGGGCAGCAAATGCAACCAGTATGTACAGACAGCAGTGAATAGGATAAAAAATTTATTAAACAAACATTGATATATATGAATCAATCTTGCTTGAAACTTAATGTTAATAAAACTGTTTAAATGTACTTTTCTAAATCCAACAATGCAAATCAGGTCGAAGATATTCATGTGACAGGGGAAAAAATTAAAGTTGTGTCAGAATTCAAATACCCAGGCATCCTAATAGACTCTTAACTTACTTTTAAATACCACTTCAAAAAAGTGTGCAATAGAGTCAAATTCAATATTACAAATTTTTGTTTCATAAGATCAAACTTGTCACTATATATATATATACAAATATATATTTAATATATACATACATATATATTTATATACACATAGTTTAAATATTTTATTCTATTTTATGAACCTAAAATCAATAGTCCTGCATACATTTATTCTGTATTCTAAATCAATTTTGAGGAGTTATAGCTGTTTTTATTTCTTTTTATATTTGTATTTTTCATTGTAGAATGCTTACTGTTGTGTTTTTTTTTTTTAGGTAGACAATTTTAAGATCTGTCCAGGGACAACAGATGAAAAATAGCCTTTTGCAGGAATGCTTGTAATGTACACTATCCCTGTCAAATAAATAAATAAATCAATTTTAAATCAATTTTTAAATATTTAAGTAATGTATTGAGTATTACAGAAATTAGATCAAGTTTAAGAGTATCCAAACATTCATTTAACCATTTCAGTATTCCCTTTGGCTAAATATTTCTTATAATAATAAAATAAATAATATTTTAACTAGAATTACTGCTAGATCCTGTATAACAGTTAGGACTATTGTGTACAGATGAAGCTTCTCCATGCGTCCCAAACACAACTATGAGATCATAAAAATAAATTTTAAAAAAGAATAAAATCTTTCCAACAAACAGATAAAACAATAATAATAGTATTATCTATTTACTAACATATAACAAATGATAGATAATATGTATTCATAGCTCTTTATTTTTATGCATTTTTCCAAAATATAATATGAACTGTAATATAATGTATGGTATTATATGCTACATGCCAATTCAAAGTAGAATATGAATGTGAAATGGGAGAAATATCATAAATGCTTTTCACATTTGCATAAAATGTAAATTATACATATATTTCTGTCCAGAGTAAACAACCTGTTCACAGTCTGGATCCAAATTTCTGTCTTAAAGCAGCAGCTTTGTGAAAGATAATAGCATGATACTGCTAAACATGTAGAATGACTACAGTGAAGGGATGGTCAAACTGAGGGCTCCTATTCAAAGTAATCTTCCCACTCATATTTTCTTTTGAACTTTTTATCAAACTATTATTAATTCTGGGATTTCTTTCTCACTCTATTTTCCATAGGATGTGTGTTTTTTAACCTAAGATAGACAACAAAAATTCAGATTTTCCTTGCCTTGCTGTAATTGGTATTCAAATACAATATTTAATTTAGTTAAGTTCTTCTATTTCATCTATTTTAGACAGATGACACCTTTTGTTGCATAAAAATAGATGTGATATTAAGTCCAAATTTTTGTCTCTGAGATGAATTTGTTTTACCTTTTTTTGCAATTGGTCATGGAAATATATTTCCCTGTGTGAGTCCTGCAAGGAAAAAAAATTATAAATTACAAAAACATCCACAGTAAAGACTCTGCAGCAGAGGCCATTCGCTCCTTTTTCTCTTTTTTTCCCCAAGCTGGAAAAATTTCTGGTATTCGGTAAACTATTCCTCCTTCCAAGTGCGCAGAAGCAGGATGTTGATTTCCCTCTTTTTGATCGAAACTACAGAAGCATGAGCACAAAACTAAAACTTATTCTTTGGCTTTGGCTATATCAAGTGCTTCATGGTAAGTAAAAAATAAACACTCTGGTAGTTTAAATGCTGTGATATTAAGGCAGTTCATAGATTGAAGTTGCTTTCAGGAAATCAGCTTAGTTTTCTGCAGTGAATTCTTTGAAATGAATAAAAGTTTATCCTTTTCAGATGTGGCAGGAGGCTCAGGTCCAGATCCTGCAACAGATGCATCGTCTCTCTCTGATGCAAACTTGATGTTTGAGGTAACTTTATTTCTGACTTATTTCTCCATGGTTACATTATTCATGCCATTTCCCTCCATGGACAAAACGTCTTCTGTATCCAGTTTTTGCTGAGTGGAGTGGAGATAAACCAGGACAATAACGTTTTCCTGCTGGATGAGGAACTGGCATCGATGAGGAAAGGGAGGGAGTTCCTGTCTCGGATCAACGATGACATTCCGTTAAGTCCAAGAACAATGCAAGCCATGGTTCAGACAATGAAGATTGATCAGAAGACGACTCTAAATGTGGATAAGTTTGAGAGGCTTGTTCTGTGCATGGTTTACTCTGCACTGCAGGCCAGAGTCCAGCCAAGCCAAGAGGAGCGACAGGCCTGGAGTGGAGTTCTCCTCCAGCTAGCAAACATCACCACCCACGAGTTACGAGGAAGTTTTCTCTATAATTATTCATAGAGAAACCATAAAAGGTGTGCGCTTTGAAGGCTTGAATCTTTGAATGTTGCATGCAATGATTTTTCCCCCCAAAGAAATAACCAACAATGTATGATATATTGCAGAATACATTTATTGTTTTACAGTAGAAAAAAGTGCTAGGAAATGTTTTGTAAATAGAAAATGGTCATATAAAAAAACTAACAAACATTTTTTAAACATTTGAACAATCTTTAACCATAGAAACATAAACTGTAACATATTAATGTACAAAACAAGCTGTTCTGGCTCTCTGAGGGTTTACTTCTTTCTCATCCGCCCAGTTTTGGTTTTGGTTTCCGTTTCTTCCAGAGAAGCAAGCTTTTTCTTCAGCTTGGTGTCCCCAGCTTTACCCCTCCGCTCTCTGCTGGAGCGCTGCTGCTGACTCCTCCGCTGACCTCTTAACCCCTCCTCTGAAGCTGAGCTTTCCTCAAGATGTTTGTGTCGGCCACTGATCAACGACTCGTCACTGTCCCAGATCAGAAGTGTTAAACCTGAGAGCAAACATTTCATTGTTGAAGAAAGTATTCAACCATTTAACCTATTTGATGTGTATTAATTCTACGCTATACAAGCTAGAACTATTTTCCACCTTTATTATTAATGCATCATAACAAACAGCCTCCAGAAGCCACCTAAGTAGAGCATTAATTGGCCAAGCAGCAGAGATATGCAAACTCTGGAGGACCTGCATAGATCCACGGCTGTTAGAAAAACCTGTCAGACAATATCAGTTCTTCCCTCACTGCAAAAACAATCTAAAATGAGTAAAAAATGTCTTAAAATAAGTATATTTACCCTTCATTTAGAAGGTAAATAAGATGATTTACCCTTGCAATAAGATAATTGGATATTTGGCAAAGTGTCTCACTTATCTACTCAATTCACAAAAATATTGACATATTTAAAGAAAAATCTTTCTTACCTAGATAAAAATTTTGTAGTGTATACAATCTGTTTTTTTTTTCAAAGTGGTAAAAAGAAAGTCATTAAAAGATCCATTTTCAGTTAGCCATCAGCAGGAATAGTAACTTCCCATCATTCTGATCAAGCTAGTGGTGTTGGCAGCATCATGATGTAGGGATACCCTCATCAGTTGGGACGGGGAGAAGATTAGACTAAATAGAAAGATGGATGGAGCTAAATAAAAGACAATGTCAGAAGGAAATCTGACAGCTTGAGGCTGGGGAAGAGGTTCACCGTCCAACAGGAGCACAAGCTAAAAGACTGACCGAGCTACGATGGAATGATTTAGGCTACGTTCACACTGCAGGTGTAAATGCTCAATTCCAGATTTTTTGTGAAATCGGATTTTTTTTGCGTTTCTGTTCACATTTCCAAATATATGTGACTTGTATGTGATCTCCTGTGTGAACTACATTCATACAGCTTAAGTGTCCCACATGTGCAGTAGAGGACGCAATGATGTCACAAACAAGCGTACTCTGTGTTTACGGAAGTTAACATGGATGGTAGCAGTGGAGCGCATCTAGCGATCTTTCCCAACCTTAAAAACTCAATCTTTTCAAGATGGTTTAAAAAAAAAAAAAGACTGCTCTTGGCATTATCGTCCACAATGGTGGTTGTTTTTCTTTGTTAAGTATTAATGAAGTTTAGGTTGGATGAATGCGACCTGGCATTTGAAAAGATTATATCCGTATTGGATTTAGGACCACAGAGCCAAGTGGCTTGGGTCGCATTCATAAAAAAACAAAAATCAGATGTGTGTTGTTCAGACTGCCATGAAAAGCTCAGATACTGTCAGTCGCATATGGACAAAAAAACAATGGGATTTGGGTCACTTCAGGCTGCTGTGTGAACGTAGCCTGAAATTAAATAATAAAAGTTGGAATGGCCTAGTCAAAGTCCAGACCCAAATATAAAACTGTCATCTTATTCTGTGGAGAAGAGTAAGCTAAAAATTAAAGCTACTACTGTAGCTTCTACTTTCCCAAATACTGCTTTGTGTTTGTGTATTACAGGAAAAACTCCCATTATAAAAAAACAAATTTGTTTTAATTATAACCGGGAGAAAAGTTAAAAGATTATAAAAATGTTCACAGTTCACTAACTGATGTGATTCAGCTCCACCAAGTGAACCAATGAACGGCTTAAACAGCTCACCCATTCCAGAGCCGATGACATCACCCATGGGACTGAACTTGTTGACCTGTAAAAACAGAGAGCCTAACTTTAATAGGTGCAATATTTTGAGTTTGTTTTGATCTGCTTATAGTTCAGTGAAAAACATTTACAGATTTGATCCCTGCAGCGGTGGAATCATACATCTGAAACACCAGCTCCCCGCTGTTAGCATCAAAGATGTCGATGGTCCTCTGGTCTCCGGCACAGATGCGGTCATCAGGATAGCGCCCCGCAACGATGAGGTCATAAAGGGGATGCCATGTAGCCTACAGAACGATTAAAGCAATATTTTGTTAACAAAGACAGACTCCACCCCCCCCCCAAAAAAATTTAAAAATGGCCTCCATCTTACAACATCAATGGTTCTGAAAAATCTTAACATTTTTAATAAATAAAAACATAAAATTTAAATATAATTGTTAAAGATGTACAAATAATATCCTGCTATCATCCCCATGAAAACAACCAACAAACCTTAATGGGTGTAAGGTGCTGAAACTGTCTGTGCGGATGCTGGATGATGTGCTGAGGCTTTGACCAGTCAGACGACGAGTAAACGCGGACCTGGTCGTACTGATCTGTGGTCAGCAGTTTGGAGCAGTCCAAAGGGTTGAAATAAGCTGCAGAGACCCATAATAGAGACACAAAGAGCTGTGTTAGCTTTTGATCACATAAAAAACTAACATCCACCTTTTCTAACCATCTGCTTTAATCTAATATATTAAATCTGTGCTGCAGAGATGATTGAATTATTCTCAGAGCCCTCTATTGTTAAAGGGATTTTTCCAAGGTCTTTAAGGTTATTTGCTGCAAAGGAGGATGAAAAAAACAAACATTTAACTGCACTGCTACAACCTATTTTACAGCTTAATATTTGTGGTGACCAGCTTTGGGTTTCTGAAAAGGAGGAAACTTTTTTTTTCCTGCTGGGCTTCCAAGGCTGGGCGTAACTTTGTGATGAAAGTTGGTGGGGACAGTTGGGTGGTGGCTCATGGACCTACAGCTACAATATCATAATGTTAACTTTTCCAAAAATGAGCTCAAACATGTTTATTGAATGCTTTCCTATTTTTGAAAGCACAAGGCCACAACACACCAATATTTATATTTACAGATTTTAAAGAGATGCCTTTTAGTGCATTACAAATATAGGGCCGAAAAACACCAATGCATGAAAAAAAATAATTAATAAGAGCCGATTCCAATGGCAAAATTGATATATCATGCATCCCCAGAAGTACAATTTCAATTCCATCCAGAAATAATATGGTTATGCTGCATTTTAAATATAGCATAGCATTTATTTTTGTTATCTTTCTGGTAAACTTGGAGATATATGTCATTGCATATCCCAGTAAATCTGTTTCACCTTTAAATCTGCAGCTCTCCCTACTTCTCTTTCTGCTCTGTTTTAAAATAGATTTATGAACCTCTTTACTAATATGATGACAGAAACAAAATTTCAAGATATGTAGAAGCTCTGCAGTCTGATTCTGTCTGTATAATAAGAACACATAAATTTTAACCTATAACTGGGAGTCATGGTCCTCTGAGAAGCAAAGATTCTTTTTAAATAGTAAAGAAGAAAGACCTATGTTTTTCTCAAGCTTCTTGTGTTATAATACTTGTTTAAACTTACAATCTGTTGCCATTTTTAGCTGAAAAAGCTTCGTATGTCTAACAAACTGATTTTTCGGTGGCATCTCTAATTATTTTAACCAACCCGTATTCTAAATTTTATTTAAACATCAAAGTAGCTGCTGGTGAATATTCACTAAGCACTGCTGTGTGTCTCTCCTCCAACCACGTAGCGACTCTCTAAGCAGTAAAATGCAACTGCAAATCAGATGTCTCAAAGCCACAGATCCAACCTCTGTTACCTCCACTGGCTCCCTGCCCCTGTCCGCCGAGGTTCCAGCCCAGCGGCAGAACCTCGGCAGTTCAAATGCCCGGTGTGTTTCGCCTACATGCTGCACTGTAGTCGACCAAAATCCAGGACACTTTTTAAATTCCCCTCCGGACATTTTTTGTAGGTATGAAAAGTTGGACATGTCCGGGAAAAAAAAGAGGACGTCTGGTCACCCTACCTAAATATAAACTGGGAAAAACATTTCCTATCATAGCTCAGTTTGGATTCCCAGTTAGCTAAATGAGAATAGAATAATGACAGATCATTCGTTCTGAGCTCTGCTGTTCTCCGACAGTGAAAACAAAAACATTCTAGAGGTATTTGGGTGCTTTTGCTAAACCCATCTCTAACATGTGCAGAAATTTAACTTGGTTGTTTCAATTTTTAAGAATGATTTAAACATATGAAAAATAGAACAGTTGCCAGACTACTTGTTGAAGGTTTTTCTGTTAGTAAAAAATGTTATCAGTTTGAAACTTTGGGTGTGGAACTTTGTTCCCTGTGTTTTTCCTTATTTTATCTTAAGCATGTGTGTAAAATAAAATATCTTACTGCAGCAAATCTACTCAATAGTGTGAGTTTTTTCCAATAGGGTTTACTTTTAGAGTTATTTTCTCACCCTTTGACTTGTCTGTACTGAAAGTATTTTTGCAAGCTGTGAATTTATTTTTCTCAGGTACAGAGTATAACAATGAGGAAGGTTCCCACCTTAACATGAGGAAAGAAAGGTTAACTAAAGAAGGACTTCCTACCTGAATTAACGGCTTTCTCGTGAGGCATTTTGTGGAGGAAGCTCGTCTTGTCCTTGATGTTCCTCAGATCCCAAAGTTTAACCGTGTGATCAACTGATGCCGTCACCAGCAGCCAGTCGCATCGAGTGTTAAACTCTGCGTGCGTCACTTTGGCTTTGTGCAACTTATTGCTGAAAATCTAAAAATAAGCAGATCAAAGGGCAAAAACATTTACACTTTTTTTTCTACCATCTTAAATATAAAACTATGTTTTACAGCAGTTTACAGCCCTGTTTTATGTCGATTAGACATATGATTTTCAAATCTATTTTAATTACTTTTTAGTATTCATTTGCTAGCTTAATTTAGTTCTTATATATGAATCATATACATATATATATATGAACATGCTTAGTATCAGTATAGTTTGTTGTAATTTCAGCTATAGTTTGTCTTATGTACTAATGCTAAACCAGGGTAAGGAAGACAAAATAATTAGAAAAAAATGAAATAAAATAAAAGTAATAAAATGAGAGACAGCTGCAGCAAGACCTCATATTAACACATTATAATAAAACACAAACTAAGCATTATTAATTTTGTAAACGCTTTTTACAGTTTCTGTTATTTTACGTTAATTTTTTCGAAGATCTAGTTTTTATCTTTTTTTTTTAATTTTAGTTGACAATAAACGATACAGATGCAGTGCTAATTAATGTTAGCAATGGTTATGGTTAGTAGCTGGATAAAATTTTTAGATATCTTCTCAGCTTCAAGCCTTTAAGGAAGCTTACAGTTGCAACCAAAATTAGTCATAATCTGGTTGGATTTACACTTAAAGTCAATTTGAAATATATAAACAGCATGTTTTATCTTAGTGGATGTAATAACCTTAATTTCAATAGATTTCTTGCTTCCTTCTGAGAGTGAACAATATTGTTAATTTAGTCTCTTGCAACTCCATCTTAAATTCTTTAAGAAAATATAAAAATTATAAGATTTTTCTACATTAAGACTGGTTATAAGGAGTTAAAAGATAAACAAACAAACAAACAAACAAAAAAAAAACAACGTTTGACTCCTAATTGAAGCACCTTTTGGCCGTCCAGACCCAGGAGTGTGAGCTCGCCAACGTTGTCTCCGGTCACAAGCATCTGTCGACTCACAGACACATCCACACAACAGTACCAAAAGCTGGAAAAAAGAAACAAAAAAAAAAATCAATTTAGAGGGTATAAGAAACGATAAACAATATATTCTAAGGGGTGGAAATATTACAGCCATTTTAAAAGCTATAACATTTAAAAAGTCTAAACCTTTGTGTGACATATAATCTCTCAACATCTATATAATTTAGTGCTAAATGTAAAATCATATGAAACAAAGGAGCAGGTTTCCTTTCAATCTTTGATTTGACTCTTGTACTTTTTTACACATTTTGTTACATTATACGACGAAGAATTAGGGCCAGCATAGAGATTTATTTTTTATTATTCCATGAACAAAGTTGTAAAATTACGAGAATAAGTTGCAATATTATGAGAATGATACAACATCGTCATCATACAACAACCCGTTTCAGAAAGAAAGCTT